CCAGGGGGACAGCTTGAGGCTCTTGTCTCAAAAAATAAAAAAATAAAATTTAAGTTCAAGGGCTGTCTGGGGCTGGTGGCGGGGTGGAAAGGGAGTCAGTGTTTCATGGGCACAGAGCTTCTCTTCAGTTTGGGAAGATGGGAAAGTTCTGGAGATGGTTGGTGGTGATGGTTACATGACAATGTGACTGTACATAATGCAACCGAGCTGTACACTTCAAGATGGTTAAAGTGGTAAGTTTCATGTTATGCACACTTTACCACAATAAAAAAATAGCTCTGGGCGGCACCTATGGCTCAGTGAGTAGGGTGCCAACCCCATATACCGAGGGTGGCGGGTTCGAACCCAGCCTCAGCCAAACTGCAACAAAAAAATAGCTGGGCATTGTTGTGGCATGCGCCTATATTCCCAGCTACTCAGGAGGCTGAGGCAAGAGAATCGCCTAAGCCCAAGAGCTGGAGGTTGCTGTGAGCTGTGATGTCACAGCACTCTACCAAAGGCGACAAAGTGAGACTCTGTTTCTAAAAAAAAAATAAAAATAATAAATAATGGGTGGCGCCTGTGGTTCAAGAAGTAGGGCACTGGCCCCATATACTGGAGGTGGTGGGTTCAAACCTGGCTGGGCCAAAAACTGCAAAAAAATAAATAGCTGTATTGGCTAGGTGCAGTGGCTCATGCCTGTTATCCTAGCACTCTGGGAGATGGAGTTGGGTAGATAGCTTGAGCTCACGAGTTCAAGACCAGCCTGAGTAAAAGCAAGACCCCCATCTCTACTAAAAATAGAAAAACTGAGGCAAGAGGATCACTAGAGCCCAAGTTGGAGGTTGCTGTGAGCTATGACACTACAGCACTCTACCTAGGACAACAGCTTAAGACTCTGTCTCAATAAAAAAAACATAGCTATATCAAACTTTCCTGCCTACCATCATCTTGTCTCTTTAGAAAGGTGCTTTTGCTGCTAAGTTTTGGAGTAAGAACTCCCCAAACTGTCTGCTTCTAAAAAATGGCTATGTAAGCACATTTGCATGTTCTGGGAGTGACAAACCAGAAGCTCAGGGCCCATGCTTTTTTGTATGTGCTGTTACCTTTCCTGACTACCACAACCATGGTCACCAGCCCAGCAAGGAGGAGGAAGGTTCCAACCAGGCTCAGGGTGAGCACCAGGATCCAAGAGGGCACTAGGGAAATGGGAAAAGAGAGAGTGGGCAGATCATGAGCTGAGGAGGACAGGGAAGGGCAGGACACCTGTCTTCTCTCTAGGTTACCTTTGAGGAGCCAGGTCCTCCCCTATAACCCCCAACCATGTGACTTGGGTGTAGCTGAATCCTGGGGATTTAGCAAGCTTTCAGTCTGGCCAGTTAGCATATTCCCTCCCCTTGGCTATTGTGATTGGTTCAGGGATGAGCATGTAGTCCAAGTGCAGTCAATGAAAGCTAATTCTGAGACTTTGGCTAGACCACTGGAAAAAAGAGGCTTAGTCTTCTGCCTAGCATGGCAGAGTTGGTAGGATATATATCTGAAGCTGCTGGGCACAATTTTATTAACATAAAAGGGAGGGACTGCCTGCAAATAAGACACATGAGAAAGCAGAGCTGAGAAGTAGGCAAAGGATTCCTGATATCTTTGAGCATGTGGATCCAGTGAACTGACTTCATGACTTCAGTTTAGTAAACCAACAAATCCCAATTTGTTGATGAAGCCATTTTGAGTCCAAGTTTTAGTTTCTTTTTCTTTCTTTTTTTCTTTCTTTTTTTTTTTTTTTGAGACAGAGTCTCACTGTGTCACCCTCAGTAGAATGCTGTGACATCACAGCTCACAGCAACCTCAAACTCTTGGGCTTAAGTGATTCTCTTGCCTCAGTCTACCAAGTAGCTGGGACTACAGGTGCCTGCCACAACACCCAGCTGGGTTTTTTTTGTTGTTGTAGTTGGTCGTTGTTTAGCTGGCCCAGGCTGGGTTCAAACCTGCCAGCCTTGGTGCATGTGGCCAGCGCCGTAACCTCTGTGCTATGGACGCGCAGCCCAAGTTTTAGTTTCTTGCAGCCTGGGTGCCAGGGGGTCAGTTGGCTTCCACCCCCAACCAAATGATGGACTCTGAGATCCATTCAGAGGTCAGCCACAGAGGTGTAGGCATGACACTGCCAGAGTTTTCATTCTCTGCAAAAGACAGCTTTCCCTCCCTGCAGAGAGAGGACATTACTTCACCTGAGTAAAAGTCAAGAGCTAAACCAGGAGGGAGAAAGAGAAGACAGACATTTGGCATTCTCACATTAGGCCTTGTTCACTCATTCATTTGAGGCTGGAGTGGTGTTGTCACCTCCCCACTTTAAAACCACAAGGTCAAGGTGAGAGAAGGAGGCCTTTGATAGAGGAACTTGAGGTCTGGAAGGACACAGAGCTGTTCTGTCATCACTGCTTGCCAACCTCAGATGGCAACAAGGTTCTCTTTGCATAGGGAAAGTTCTGACTCAGCGCCTGTAGCTCAGTGGCTAGGGCACCAGTCACATACACCAGAGCTGGCAGGTTCGAATCCAGCCTGGGCTTGCCAAACAACAATGACAACTACGAAAAATATCCAGGCGTTGTGGCGGGTGCCTGTAGTCCCAGCTACTTGGGAGGCTGAGGCAAGAAAATCGCTTAAGCCCAAGAGTTTGAGGTTGCTGTGAGATGTGATGCCACAGCACTCTACTGAGGGTGACAAAGTGAGACTCTGTCTCAAAAAAAAAAAGCTCTAAGTGATAGTGACATAGAAGGCCACAGAAAATTCTCGCTCCTGCCTCCTGACCTATAACCCATGCACAGCCTCCACTTTACTGACCAGAGAAAGACATCAGGCCTCTGAGAGTTCCTGTCTCACTCAATTGAAAAGTGAAAGTTGGGCGGCACCTGTGGCTCAGTGAGTGGGGCACCAGCCCCATATACCAAGGGTGGTGGGCTCAAACCCAGCCCCAGCCAAATTGCAACAAAAAAATAGCCGGGCATTGTAGCAGGTGCCTATAGTCCCAGCTACTTGGGAGGCTGAGGCAAGAGCTGTAGCTGTGATGCCACGGCACTCTACTGAGGGTGACAAAGTGAGACTTTGTCTCTAAAAAATAAATAAATAATAAAAAGAAAAGTGAAAGTCCTTGCTGCAACCTACAGGGCCCCACACAATCCTCCTTGTCACCTCCCTGCCTTTGCCTCCCCCCATTTACCTCCTTGCTCATTATACTTGAGCCACAGTGGGCTCTTTTATTTTTGGCCAGGGCTGGGTTTGAACCCGCCACCTCCAGCATATGGATCCAGAGCCCTACCCTTTTGAACCACAGGCACCGCCCTTTTATTATTATTATTTATTTTTATATTTTTTGTAGAGACACAGTCTTACTTTATTGCCCTTAGGAGAGTGCCATGGCATCACATAGCTCGCAGCAACCTCCAACTCCTGGGCTTAGGCGATTCTCTTGCCTCAGCCTTCCAGGTAGTTGTGCCCACCACAACACCCAGCTATTTTTGTTGTTGTTGCAGTTTGGCGGAGGCTGGGTTCATGGGGCTGGTGCCTTACCAACTGAGTCACAGGCGCCACCAGCCACGGTGGGCTCTCATGTGTTCCTCAGACATATTAGGGAAGCTTCAGCCTCAGGACCTTTGCACAACCTGTTTCCTCTGCTGGCAACACTCTTGCCCCAGTACCCCCAGTGCTGCCTTCTCGCCATCATTCTATTCCTCTTCTTTGTAGAGACAGCATCTCTGTCACCCAGACTGGGGTGCAATGGCTGATCATAGCTCACTATAACCTAGAACTAATGGGCTTCAGGGAGCCTCCCCTCAAAGACTCTCAAAGTGCTGGGATTATAAGCCTGAGCCACCATACCTAGCTAAGTTTTAAAACATTTGTGTAGGCTGAGTGCAGCGGCTCACACCTGTAATCCAAGTACTCTGAGAGGCTAAAGTGGATGGATTGCCTGAGCTCAGGAGTTGAAGACTCCTTGTTCAGGAGTTGAGCAAAAGTGAGACTCCATCTCTACTAAAAATAGGAAAACCAGCCAGGCATTGTGGCAGGCACCTATAATCCCAGCTACACAAGAGGCTGAGGCAAGGGGATTGCTTAAGCCCAAGAGTTTGAGATTGCTGCGAGCTATGAAGCCATGGCACTCTACCAAGGGCACAGAGTGAGACCCTATCTCAAAAAAATAAAATAAAATATTGTTGTAAATATAGGGTCTTGCAGCTCGGCGCCTGTGGCTCAAGAGGCTAAGGTGCCAGCCACACACACCTGAGCTGGTGGGTTTGAATCCAGCCTGGGTCAGCCAAAACAACAATGACGGCTGCAAACAAAAAATAGCTGGGCACCTGTAGTTCCAGCTACTTGGGAGGCTGAGGCAGGAGACTTGCTTAAGCCCAGGAGTTGGAGGTTGCTGTGAGCTATCATGCTACAGCACTCTACCCAGGGGGATAGCTTGAGGCTCTGTCTAAGAAAAAAAGAAAAAAAATAGCCAGGCGTTGTGGCAGGCGCCTATAATCCCAGCTACTAGAGAGGTGGAGGCAGGAGAATTGCTTGAGCCCAGGAGTTGGAGGTTGCTGTGAGCTGTGATACCATAGCCCTCTACCCAGGGTGACAGCTTGAGGGTCTGTCTCATATATATATGGTCTTGCTATATTGCCCAGGCTGGTCTTATACTCCTGGCCTCAAGCAATCCTCCCACCTCAGCCTCCCAAAGTTCTGGGGTTACAGGTGTGAGCCACTACACTTAGCTGTAGGTGCTCAAAATTTTTATGAGGCTGATGGGGGAGTATGCAGTATATTTGTAGTGTGGAGGCTCAATGCCTGGTCTTTGGCAGCCAGTGGTGTCTCAGCTCATCTACTCTTTATCTGGATGATTTGGGGAAGTGCCTAACCTTTTATGCCTCAATTTCCTCATCTGCAAAATGGGGACAATCACAGCTCCTATTTTATCACCATGAGGGGGAGGGCCTGCCTGAGAATAAGACAGAAAAATTGCAAAGCTGAAAAGTGGCTAATGATTCCTGACATCTTTGAGCACCTGGATTCATCCATACCTGAAGGCAGCCATGTGAGCTGACTTCAGTGAACTAACAAATCCCCTTCTGGGGTAGCTCAGAGGATGGGAAAAGGAAAGGCAAGTAAGTCCTAGCAGGTCAAAAGCCTGACTCTTCCATCTAAGAGGAGGGAACAGCACATGCAAAGCCTTAGGATTAGAAAATAGAGCTTCTGGCAGTGATGGCTCACGTGAGGGCCTTACCTGGGAAAAAGACATGCACAGGTTTACTGAAGTCTGACAGCTGTGGCTGGCTGTGCTCACCCATCACGCCATATTGGCATTGGAACGGTCCCCCTGGAGCCTCACTGCTACTGCCACTCAGGTTGAAAATGACCCCAAGCTGGTCTGCGGGGGCCTCCAGGAACTGGACCATATGTTCCCCTCGGTACAGTGTAAAATTTGCCCCCAGGAAGCCCCTGGGGGCCACGCATGAGATGTGGATGGGGTCCTCTTGGCTGCTGGGGTGTGGGGGCACCAGCAGGATAGATGGTGCCGGGATTGCCAAAGAACCTGCAAAGCAGAATAAGGGGAAACTGGCTGGCTGTGTGGCCTTGGATAAGTAGATCACCCTCTCTGAGCCTTGCACTTCATGTGCATCAGCATCTTTTCCCCACTGCAATGTAGAAAGGCATTAATTGCATGCCTGGCACATGGTGAGGAGTCCCTGTGATTGCATCATTTTATAATAGTAACAATGTTTATTATATAGCAACCTAACTAGTCTTATTACTTTAATCAACAACACTGTGTGCCAGGCACCGTTCTAATAGTAACAGGGACAAATGGACAAACATGTGTGTCCCATGGAGATGATGTCTTCTCAAAGAAACAAGAAGTTCTGGGTGATGGGAAGCCTGCGTTAGCTGAGGTGGCCACAGAGGGCTTACCTGAGGAGGTGACGTCTGAACTGAGTATGAGTGGCAAGGAAGGACCCATATGAAGAGTTGGAGAATAGCATTCTAGATAGAGGGATAAGCACAGGCAAAGGCCCAGAGGATGGAAGGTTGTGAGAGTGTGCTCAGGAACACTGAGGAGGAGCCGGAGTGGCTGGAGGTAGGGAAGTGATATGGGGAGACCTAGAGCAGGGAGTGCAGAGGGGTTCTACCTTCTTTCCCAGCCTGTGGTGAGAAATATGGGTTTTGGACCACAGCTTCCCGCAGGAGGGAGCTTTTCTTGGGGTCTAGTCTCTCTCTCCAGCTGCCCACATGCTCCTGAGCAGTGTCCCACCTAACTACCAGGGTCTATAGGTCTATAGAAACCTTCCCTTGTCCAGCCACCACCCCTAGGCAAACCCTATTGCTAAAGAGGCCAAGGCAGGGGCTGAGTCACTGGGCGTGGGCATGGCTGTCTCCAGCCCCACCATGATATTTTTGATGCTCTTGATTGGCGAGGGGAGTGAGGAGCGCAACAAGAAAAAGCGATGCTCCTGGGGCGTTTCCAAGGCTCACGGTCAAATCCATCTGTCCGCCTGCCCAAGCTCAGCTTCCTCCATGACCTGAGAGGTCAACTCCCACTCCCACTCCCACCCCCAACACTGGTTTCAGCCCTAAGGGAAGCAAGGTGGGTGGGCAGGAGATGAGGTTGCCCAGTGAGGGTCCTGAAGTGGGGTGTCAGACTCACCAGCTGCAAAGAGCAGGACCGGCCAGGGCATCTCTCCTGTGCTTGGCTGGGAAATTCGGGTGAGGCCAGAGGGGCCAATGGCTGCCGGCCAATTCCTCCTGTGAGGCCAGATGGGGAAAGGAGAACCAGTGCTGATTCGGGCTGAGAGTTTCCTCACTGGCAGGAAGTTGCACACACACACACACACACACACACACACACATACACTCTCTCTCTTTCTCTCACTCTTGGGCACTGAAAAGGACTCTCTCCTCTCTTCACCCCTTCCCCAAATGCACATTAGATCCAGGCACTGCTCTGCATTCTACTGGCTCTTGTTCCACAGATGGAAGGGAAGAAAATGGATGGAGGATGAAATGATTGGGTGTTTATTTTTTCTCTTCACCTAAGAGAACTCCTGGGCATGGGGAGAGCTGACAACAGGGAGCTGTCTGGGAAATCAACACCCAAGTTACAAACTACAGCCCAACTAGTGCCCAAACTGAAAGAAATGTGGGGCAGAGAGTGGGAGGGTATAGTGGTTAGGGTTTGGCCTCTGTGACCTCAGACAAAGCTTTCCTTTTTAGAAGGCTTAGCTCAGCCCGGCATGGTGGCTCACGCCTGTAATCTTAGTACTCTGGGAGCCCAAGCAAGATGGGTGGATTGCCTGAGTTCACAGGTTCAAGACCAGCCTGAGCCAGAGACCCCATTTCTAAAAATAGCCAGGTGTTGTGGTGGGTGCCTGTAGTGATGAGACAAGAGAATTGCTTAAGCCTAAGAGTTTGAGGTTGCTGTGAGCTATGATGTTACAGCACTCTACAGAGGGAGAAAAAGTGAGACTCTGTCTCAAAAACAAAACAAAACAAAACAGAAGGCTCAATTTGCTGCTCTGAAGAATGGGGCTAGTAGATGGACATTAGAGCAAAAGAACTCATGATATGAAGCCCCGTTCAAGGCTTCAGTGAGCTATTATTATATACCACTGCACTCCATCCTGGGCAAGAGGAGTCAGACCCTACATCTAAAAAAAATTAAGGCTCGGCACCCATAGCTCAACCGGCTAAGGCGCCAGCCACGTACACCTAAGGTGGCGGGTTCGAATCCCCAGCCCGGACCTGCCAAACAACAATGAC